CCCCAAAACCCCAAAACCCCAAAACCCCAAAACCCCACATCTTCTCTACATATAGATACAAATGTTAGACTTTTAGCAGATGAAATCATATCACTGTTAACCATCTTCCCTGTGGTAGAAAAGAGATTTAGCCTCCAGACACTCTTTCGATTAAATGGCCTACATATCAATTCTTTGGTAGATATTTTGACTTGAGATTATCAATAAAGAATTGCCTCAACATCATTATGAAATCAGGGATTTTGTCGCTCTTTCCATACTTCTCAGCGATCAACTTTCCATAAATGTTCTGCCTCTTGGTCAAAACAGACGATATATGTCTTGGCTCGAATTTAAGCGAATCTTTTAAGACCGAAAATCTATTTTTTGACTCCTCTTCTAGTGAGCTCAAGAATTTCTTCAAGGATTCTTGATGTTCCTCTTTTAACACTTCTCCTTCCAGAATATTCCGAGCTTCCTCTATGCAATCCTTGTACATTCTAGAAGTCTTTCTTCTGGAATCTTCTTTTCTCCTCTGATTATGCTTCTAGGTCTTCTTTAAAAATAAATTTATTGTTTCTTTTCTCTGAGCTTCTATGTTAAGAACCTTCATTGGGACATTATATTTCCCAGATAGCTCATGCTCAAGCTCAACTTGCTTTCTAATAGCTATCTCGATGCAGTTAAAACACAGCAAGAGAACATCATGGCTTCTATGAGATTTGCACTTCTCTAGGGAAAAGATTCTGAACTTTCAGGAATGGTTTGATAATTTACATAATTCTTACCACTTCCTCAGGCAACACAGATATTGTTTCTTTCCTCAACATAAAACTTGTCATCATCAATTTTCTTAGTACCTCTTCCGCTTAGTTCAAAATTAAGCTTAATTATGGATGGCTCATGACTAATTTTTTCAGCAAGATCTCTGTTTAAATACTACTCAACTTTCTTCTTATCACATTTGCACAAAATTTAGCTGCCTAGGACAAGGATCATACAGTTCTCATGGATAAGTTTCTTGAGGACGGACTTCTTTATAAATCTTTACCTTCTTTCTTGCCTATCAATCTTCTTTTTGCCTAACTGTTACATTCAAAATGAGCTCCTTAGCCAACTCTTCATGATTTTTATTACTGTCCTATCATCGAGATGTTCTTCAAGGATTTCTGTAATTGTAATTTCTGAAGTAGTTCTGAGATATTCGATCTATATTAAACAATCAGAGCTCCACTAAACACCAATTAAAAAAATCTTCATAATACTTCAAGTAATATAAATTTTATAAATATAGGTTTGTCATCTATAATAACTCACTCAATGAGAGAATCAAAATCAAATGATTTACAGATGAGCGAAGCACATCCTATTCGAATTCTTTTCCAAGCAAAGAAAAAGCAATTAATTCCTGGCAAACCCTTCCAAAACCATATCTTTCCTCCTTAAACCTCATTAACCAATAACTCCTCCAACCCTGCTTATTTCTTCACTAAAAATCCCCCTCAATTCCTACTTAAAATCAAGGGGTTTTGGGGTTTTGGGGTTTTGGGGTTTTGGGG